GGTTCTATCCCCAGTACAACCAATACCAGGGATTGAACTCAGGCCCTCCAAAAAAAAGAAGAAGAAGAAAATAAAGGTTGGAGAGGAGGTGCAGCTCAGGTATAGAGCACATGGTTCATGTGCAAGTGCTTGGGTTCAATCCCCACTACTACACCACACACAAAACAATCTTTGGATGGGTAATGTGTCACACCATTAAAAATGGCTTGGATTAGAAAAGAGGAGGAAAAGATTTGTCATGTTTTCTTTGTATAGTTTTGTATTACTGGGTTCTGTTTATAGGTATCATTACTTTTTTAGGAAGAACACATGTATTACTTAAATCTGTTACTTAAGACAGTATCCTAGATGTGTTCATCATTGTTTGACTTCATGCATGTCATTTTAAGGAACTGGTGCTTAAGGTATTTAACTTTTTGCAAACTTATTATACAGAAATTTGTGCAAAGCTTCTATGAGCACTAAGGTGCTGCTTCTAAAATTTCAGGGTACCTCATATATGCATTGCACTTTTTTTTGCTTTCTAGTGAGTTGTTCTCCCCATCTCAGAAGTACCAGCTTCTGGTGTATCATGCAGACTCACTCTTTCATGATAAGGAATATCGGAATGCTGTGAGTAAGTACACTATGGCTTTACAGCAGAAGAAAGCCCTGAGTAAAACTTCAAAAGTGAGGCCTTCAACTGGAAATTCTGCATCAACTCCACAAAGTCAGGTAATTGGAAATAGAATTGGGATTTTTTGTGGATTTTTTGTTTGATTTTTGGAGTAAAACCAAAAAAAAATTCTTTTTTCCTTTGCTCGGCTTGAGTCCAGAACCTCATGTATGCTAAGACAACTATTCTACTGTCGAGCTATATTCTCATACTCTTTTTTTTTTTTTTTTTTTTTTTGGTGGAACCGGGGATTGAACTTAGGCCCTTGCACTTGCTAGGCAAGCTTTTATTCTACAGAGCCATCTCCCTTGTCCCCGAGCTGTATTCTAAGCCCCAAGACTAAACTAACTTAAATGATGGAAAAGACTAGACAGACAAAGAAGATGATAAAATAAATAACTAAAAGGGAAATTGATAAAAAGAAAAAAAACTACTTAGATATAAGAATGTGTCCTAAGGCCCGTGAGATAGCTGAGCAGACTAAGCGCCTCCTTTGGCAAGCGCAGGGACCAGGGCTCGATCCCTCCACCCCCCCCATCAAATGTGCCAGCCCCGCACCCAAGGTGCACTGAGCCAGCACCAAGTCTGGGTGTGGTGGCACACACCTGTAATCCCAGCACTGGGGAGGCTGAAAACAGGAGGATCACTACAAGCCCAAGCTGCAAAGTGAGACCCTATACCAAAAACATAAATGGAAAAAAAAAAAAAAAAAAAGAACGTGTCCTATGATTGATCTCTAACTTGTATTTCTCTAAGAACCCTGGCCTTAAATGCCTCGCAGTCTTGGCCCTGGATGCCTGGGCATGCCCTCTTGGTCCTGGATGTGGAAGCCCACCCTGTGGCCCAGAACCAGGGTTGGTGGTGCACACCCATAGTCCCAGCACTCGAGGTTGAGCTAGGAGGGTCTCTGCAAGTTTGAGACCAGCCTAGGGGCTTCAGAAATGAGCACAAGGCCAGCCCAAACTACATAGTGAGACCCTGTCTCAAAAAAAGAAAAGACAAAAGAGAACGTTAGCTGGGTGTGGTGCTGCAAATCTCTACTCTCAGCACTCAGGAGGATGAGGCAGAATGATTGCCATGAGTTTGAGGCCAGCCTGGGTTACATAATAAGTTCAATATCATGTCTGAAAGAACAAAAGTACAAACAGTTAACATTTAGTCATTATTCAGTGTATCAAGCATTATGCAGAACTTTTCATGCAAATACATTATATCATCATGGATTGATTTTTGTTTGTCACTTGTTTGACATGGGCATGCATATCCATTCCTTTTTTTTTTTTTTTTTTTTAAGATAAAGTCTTGCTATGTAATTCAGGCTGTTCTTGAACTCACTAGAGTATATCCCAGGCTAGCCTTAAACTTGCTATAGTCCTCCTGCCTCAGCTTCCCAGCTGCTGAGATAGGGGTTGTGCGCCACCACACCTGGCTTGTTATAGTTTACTTTTTTTTGAGACAGTCTGTAGTTGAGGCTGGCCTGACATTCCTCATATAGCACAGGCTGCCCTTGGATTTGGGATTCTCCTATCTCATTCTCCAAGTGCTGAGGTTATAGGCTTCTGCCAGCACACCCAGTTGGAATTTTTTAATGTTTGAGATACAGCTGTCCTGTGTCTTTTAAAAGTGTACCTTAATGGGCATAGTGACAAGACTATGCAACCATCAATACTGTCTTTGTTCTGAAAAAAAATTTTTTTTCATTTGTGTATTTGGTACAGGGTCTCACTCTGCAGATTCAACTGTTTTCAGCCTCCCCCGTGCTGAGATTACAGGCATGCGCCACCATACCCAGACTTGGTGTCCACCTCAGCGTGCCCCACGTTCTGGGCCAGCACTGGCATGGCATGCAGGACTGGGGAGGGGATTGAGCTCTGGTCCCTGAGCTGGCCAAAGCAGGCCATTAGTCCACTGAGCTATCTTCCTGGCCCTGAAATTTTTCATTACCCTAGAGAGAATCTCATGTATTTTAATACTCAGTCCACGTTTCCATTCCTCTTCACTGCTTGCAGTCTCTATTTTTTTTTTTGTATTTTTGTACAGGGTCTGCAGATCTCACTATGTAGATTGAACTCATAGTGATCTGCCTGTGTTCAGCTTCCCAAGAGCTGGGATTACAGGTGTGTGTCACCAGTCCCAGTCTATTGCTGTGTCAGCATGCCCCGGAGGCGGGGCTGGCACTGCATGCCGGGGATTGAACCCTGGCCGCTGTGTCTTCCTAAGTAGATGCTATAATCTCCTGAGCTATTTGGCCTGCCCTATCCTTTGGATTTCTATGCACTTACCTATTCTGCTTGTTCCCTGTAAATGCATTGTACAGTGTGTGGCCTTCTGCGTCTGGCTTCCTTTACTTATTGTGTTATTTTTAAAGTTTATTTGTTACGCCATGAATTGGCTCTTTATTTTGTTTTATATTATTTATTTATTTTTGAGACAGTGACTCATGGTGTATTGCAAGCTGGCCTTGAACTTAGCTATGTAGCTCAGGCTGGCCTGGAACTTATAAGCCTCCTGCTTGAGCCCCAGAGTGCTGGGATTACAAAGTGTGCCACCAAGCCCAGCCCTGGACTGGTTCTTTATTTCTTGTTACTGTCAGATATTCTATTGTATGAAAGTGCCACATTTTGTTTACCTATTTATTGGTTAAAGGACATTCATTATTTCTACTTTTTGCCCATGAAAAATGCTGCTTGGACATTTGTATACAAAATTTTTTCTAGGTATCTGTTTTTAGTTCTCTTGATTATATTCCTGGCTCATATAACCGTGTTTATAATGAAGGGATACGAATGAATGGCACACATTTTGAATAGATGTGTTCCTTGTCTTTTAGTGTCTTCCATCAGAAATAGAAGTGAAATACAAAATGGCTGAATGTTATACAATGTTAAAACAAGATAAAGATGCCATTGCTATACTTGATGGGATCCCCTCGAGACAGAGAACTCCCAAAGTAAGTGGAATCCACAGATTGTTACACATTTTTCTCCTCCTGAGCCTGCTTCCTCAATGTTTTCTCTCTGTATTAGGAGGTCCAGCCTAGGGGCCGGGGAGATGGCTCAGTAGAATAAGCGCTTGCCTGGCAAGCACAAGGACCTGCGTTCAATCCTCGGTTCCGAAAAAAAAAAGAAAGGTCCAGCCTAGCCTTTTACTAGTGACTTTAGCTTTCACTTTCTTCCTCTGTTAGTGGAGTAAGGGTTGCAAGAGGGATGAATGACATTCTTTTTGTTTTGTTTTTAGGTCTTTTTGAGACAGGGTTTCACTATGCAGTTCATGCTGTCTTCAGAATTCTAGTGACCCTCCTGCCTGCTTCAGTCTTTTGAGTGCTGGGATTACAGGCTTGTGCCGCCGCCGCACACAACTCAATCCTTACGAGTCCTTTAAGATGCAAATGACAGCTGGACAATACTACAAGTGCATAGTCTTTTTTATTTCTTGCTATACGGCATAGTGATTTGCAGAACGCTTCAGCAGTCAGATGTGTTGGCACCTGCTGGTAATCCCAGCACTCAGAAGCTGAGGCAGAGAGATTGTAACTTGCAGACAGTCTGGACAGTGTAATGTCTTAGCAGGATCCTGTCTCAAAATAAATTTTTTAAAAAGGTTGGGGATGTAGTTCAGTATGAAGGCCCCAGCTTCAATACTCAGTACTACAAAAATGAAACAAAAAACTTCCAAGTGGCAAAAACAACTGTTTTAGGGCCTTGCTTTTTGTCTTCCAGAGCAATACCAATTTGATAATGGGAATGATTTTATTCCTTCAGTTTCAAAATCGACTACAAGACCTCTTTGTGTTTGCTGTGCAGTTCACATTGGCTTTGAGCTCACTTTGTAGCCCCAGCTGGTCTCAAATTCACAGCAATCCCCCTGTTTTATCCCCCCAAGTTTGGGATTACAGGCATGTGCCACCATGCCTAGCTTCAAATTTTTCTTTCTTTTGTGTGTGTGTATGTGTGGAACCGGGGATTGAACTCAGGCCCTTGCGCTTGCCAGGGAAGCACTTATTCCACTGAGCCATCTCCCCGGCCCTCAAATTTTTCTGTGTTAAGTTCAGTTTGTATCCTTGTTACTAAGGTTGAATGTGTATTAGTATTACTATTTTTTATTTTTGGGGAGTACTGGGGATCAAACTCAGGACCTTACACTTGCCAGGCAGGCACTTAAGCCGCTGAGCTATCTCCCAACCCTATATTAGTATTTAATATTCTGGCATTCACTCTCATGTCACTTGTCCTTCTCATTTTTTGAAAAACAGTTGTGTATAGCTTATATTTAACAGTGGGGAATTTTGTTGGTAAGATGACTGTGTATATTCTTTTTTTCTTTTTTTGACTGTGTATATTCTTCACCCTTAAAACATGAGAAATCTAGGCTGGCCAAATAGCTAAGTGGATTAAAGCGCCTGCAAGCAGGTGCAGGGGCCAGAAGTTCTATCTCCAGGCCTTCTGTGCCAGCCCTGCCCCCAGGGCATGCTGAGACAGCAGTTGAGACTGGGCATGGTGGTGCAGGCCTGTAATCCCAGCTATTGGGAGTCTGTAAACAGGTGGATTACTATGTGTCCGATCTGGTAGTGAGAGCCTGAACACCTTGTAGACCCTTCCCTAAAAATACAAAAAAAAAACAACCAAACAAATACATCAAAACATGAGGGATCTAACCAATAGAAAGCTTGTGTGTTTTAGTTAATACTTCATCTAAATGTTGATAAATTTTAACGGTAACCAAGGCCAGGCATGGTGGTGCATGCCTGAATCCCAGCAATCAGGAGGCAGCAGGATCATTCCAAGTTCAAGGCCAGCTTGGGCTACAAAGTGAGCTCAAAGGTAGCTTGAACTGCATAGTGAGACCCTGTCTCAAAAAGACAAAAATAAATAAAAAATAAAGGTAACCAAACTTGATGAGAACATATTTAAGCACTTCCTCATTAAGGAATTCTTTACTATTTTGAGAGTTGAGGGGCCGGGGAGATAGCTCAGTAGAATAAGTGACTGCCTGGTAAGCACAAGGGCCTGAGTTCAGTCCCTGGTTCTGCAAAAAGAAAAAAAAAGGAAGAAAGAGAATTGAGGTACATGTGTGTATGTGTGCATGTGTGCACGTACATTGAAGGTGGACCACAGGCCCTCAAACACATTTATGGTGTACCATTGCACTATAGCCCCAGCCTTATTTTCTTAGTTTTAACTAAGATGTGTCCTATGTATAGTTTATGATGATGTCTTTTATTTAAAAATACTTGGAAATATATCATGGACTAACCTGTCTTAAGAGAAGTTGGTTTGTTTGGGTTTTTTTGGTGGAACCGGGGATTGAACTCAGGCCCTTGCACTTACCAGGCAAGCCCTTACTCTCCTGAGGTATCCCCCCTGGCTAACCTGTCTTATATTAAATTTTTTTTTTTTTAGGGAAGGGTCTACAGGGTGTTCAGGGTCTCATTACTAGATTGGACTCATAGTGATCCACCTATTTACAGCCTCCCAAGAGCTGGGATTACAGGCACACGCCACCACACCCAGTCTCAATTGCCATCTCAGCATACTCCTGGGATGGGGATGGCACCCCCAGCCCCTACCCCTGCTTGCAGGAGCTTTAATCTGCTAGGCTATTTGGCCAGCCCTGTATTAAACTTGCCAGACCTTTTTGTTTTTGTTTTGTTGTTCTTTTTTTTTTTTT